TATCCTTTTAAAGTTTTGGTCAAGGTTTGCTTTTTAAAGGTAGGTCAAATTTCAAGGTCAAGGTCAAAGGGTCAAAGTTCTTGGTATCAAATAAAGGAACTACTCACAAGGACTATATATGTGAAGTATGAAAGCCCTATCCCTTACCGTTCAAAAAAACATGGCCAAGGTTAAAGTTTTTTCACAAGGACAGAAACCTACAAGTTCAAGTTCAAAAAAAGGTCATAATTATTGGTATCAAATAAAATGTCTTTCCATAAAAAATAAATTTGAAGTATAAATGTCCTGGTATCTACTGTTCAAAAGATTTGGACAAAGAAAAAGTTTGGAAATTTTGTGTAAAAGTGGGTCACACTACCAGGTCAAAAGTTCAAATTTGGTGGTATCCAAAGAAAGGTCACAAGAAATACGCATGTGAAATGAGAAAGTCATAGCTCCACTAAATCAAAAGTCATGGCCAAGGTTAAAGTTTTTGCGGACAAACAAACAGAGGGACAGCTAAACATCTAGATGAAAAAATTATACCCCCCCCCCAAATTTCGTTTACGGGGGCAAAATAAAACTCGTAATATAAAACAAATTACGAGGCTAAGATGTCTCCAAGTCCGATGATTGTTCAATCAATCGCACCTAAACAATCAGAAAACAACCTCGAGGTTTTTTTCTTCCGATTTCTGACGTAAATACAAATGTGATGCAATTGTTTATTAAAAAGTACCACAAGTGAAAGCTAAACATAGTTTCGTATAAAATTCAGGGGGTTTTTCCAAAAGAGAAGGGGTTTGCCTGCTATTTATAGAAAGTAAACATGTAGTACATATATTTGAATATCGAACCCGATATTTAGCCGCCCGGGCAATGTACTCTTGTTCAGAAAGACATATAATAGAATTATACGGTTTTTTCCAATTTTCTCCGGGCTAGCTAAATGGGTTCCCGGTCTTGTAACATAAATTCCTTTTAACAGTGGAAGGGTCCCTCCCATACCCCTCCCCTGTAAAAATATGAAGGTCTAAATATGGGATCTTCGATGTTAGCCAGACCCCAGGGCAATGTACTCTTATTCAGAAAGACATATAATAGAATTATACGGGTTTTTTTTCCAATTTTCTCCGGGTTAGCTAAATGGGTTCCCGGTCTTGTAACAAAAATTCCCTTTGACAGTAAAAGGGTCCCTCCCATACCCCTCCCCTGTAAAAATATGAAGGTCTAAATATGGGATCTTCGATGTTAGCCAGACCCCAGGGCAATGTACTCTTATTCAGAAATACATATAATAGAATTATACGTTTTTTTTCCAATTTTCTCCGGGCTAGCTAAATGGGTTCCCGGTCTTGTAACATAAATTCCTTTTAACAGTGGAAGGGTTCCTCCCATACCCCTCCCCTGTAAAAATATGAAGGTCTAAATATGGGATCTTCGATGTTAGCCAGACCCCAGGGCAATGTACTCTTATTCAGAAATACATATAATAGAATTATACGGGTTTTTTTTTCCAATTTTCTCCGGGTTAGCTAAATGGGTTCCCGGTCTTGTAACATAAATTCCCTTTGACAGTAGGAGGGTCCCTCCCATATCCCTCCCCTGTAAAAATATGAAGGTCTAAATATGGGATCTTCGATGTTAGCCAGACCCCAGGGCAATGTACTCTTATTCAGAAATACATATAATAGAATTATACGTTTTTTTCCAATTTTCTCCGGGCTAGCTAAATGAGTTCCCGGTCTTGTAACATAAATTCCTTTTAACAGTGGAAGGGTTCCTCCCATACCCCTCCCCTGTAAAAATATGAAGGTCTAAATATGGGATCTTCGATGTTAGCCAGACCCCAGGGCAATGTACTCTTATTCAGAAAGACATATAATAGAATTATACGGGTTTTTTTTCCAATTTTCTCCGGGTTAGCTAAATGGGTTCCCGGTCTTGTAACATAAATTCCCTTTGATAGTAGGAGGGTCCCTCCCATACCCCTCCCCTGTAAAAATATGAAGGTCTAAATATGGGATCTTCGATGTTAGCCAGACCCCAGGGCAATGTACTCTTATTCAGAAAAACATATAATAGAATTATACGTTTTTTTCCAATTTTCTCCGGGCTAGCTAAATGGGTTCCCGGTCTTGTAACATAAATTCCTTTTAACAGTGGAAGGGTTTCCCATACCCCTCCCCTGTAAAAAAATGAAGGTCTAAATATTGGATCTTCGATGTTAGCCAGACCCCAGGGCAATGTACTCTTATTCAGAAATATATGTACATATAATAGAATTATACGGGTTTTTTTTTCCAATTTTCTCCGGGCTAGCTAAATGGGTTCCCGGTCTTGTAACATAAATTCCTTTTAACAGTGGAAGGGTTCCTCCCATACCCCTCCCCTGTAAAAATATGAAGGTCTAAATATGGGATCTTCGATGTTAGCCAGACCCCAGGGCAATGTACTCTTATTCAGAAATACATATAATAGAATTATACGTTTTTTTCCAATTTTCTCCGGGCTAGCTAAATGAGTTCCCGGTCTTGTAACATAAATTCCTTTTAACAGTGGAAGGGTTCCTCCCATACCCCTCCCCTGTAAAAATATGAAGGTCTAAATATGGGATCTTCGATGTTAGCCAGACCCCAGGGCAATGTACTCTTATTCAGAAAGACATATAATAGAATTATACGGGTTTTTTTTCCAATTTTCTCCGGGTTAGCTAACTGGGTTCCCGGTCTTGTAACATAAATTCCCTTTGACAGTGGAAGGGTCCCTCCCATACCCCTCCCCTGTAAAAAAATGAAGGTCTAAATATTGGATCTTCGATGTTAGCCAGACCCCAGGGCAATGTACTCTTATTCAGAAAAACATATAATAGAATTATACGGGTTTTTTTTTCCAATTTTCTCCGGGTTAGCTAAATGGGTTCCCGGTCTTGTAACATAAATTCCTTTGAACAGTGGAAGGGTCCCACCCATACCCCTCCCCTGTAAAAATATGAAGGTCTTAATATGGGATCTTGGATGTTAGCTATCCCCCGGAGCAATGTACTCTTATTCAGAAATACATATAATAGAATTATAAGGCTTTTTTCCAATTTCATTCGGGCTAGCTTAATAAGTTCTCGGTCTTGTAACATAAATTCCTTTTAACAGTGGAAGGGTTCCTCCCATACCCCTCCCCTGTAAAAATATGAAGATCTAAATATGGGATCCACGCTGTTAGCCAGCCCCCCGGGCAATGTCCTCTACTTATTAAAGTATTAAACGTTTTTTCCCAATTTTGACCGGGCTAGCCAAATGGGTTCCCGGTCTTGTAACATAAATTCCTTTTGACAGTGGAAGGGTCCCTCCCATACCCCTCCCCTGTAAATATATGAAGATCTAAATATGGGATCCACGATGTTATCCAGCCTCCCGGGCAATGTCCTCTACTTATTAAAGCATTATACGTTTTTTCCCAATTTTGACCGGGCTAGCTAAATAGGTTCCCGTTCTTGTAACATAAATTCCTTTTGAAAGTGAAAGGGTCCCTCCCATACCCTTCCCCTGTAAAAATATGAAGATCTAAATATGGGATCCACGATGTTATCCAGCCCCCCGGGCAATGTACTCTTATAATTATAGCATTATACGTTTTTTTTCCAGTTTTGAATAGGCTAGCCAAATAGGTTCCCGGTCTTGTAACATAAATTCCTTTTGACAGTGGAAGGGTCTCTCCCATACCCCTCCCCTGTAAAAATATGAAGATCTAAATATGGGATCCAGGATGTTATCCAGCCCCCCGGGCAATGTACTCTTATAATTGTAGTATTTTACTTTTTTTCCAATTTTGATCGGGCTAGCTAAATAGGTGTCCGGTCTTGCAACATAAATTTCTTTTGAGGTTTGAAAGGTCTCTCCCATATTCCTCCCTTGTAAAAATATAAGAGTCTAAATATTGGATCCAGGATGTTATCCTGACCCCGGGTAATTTACTCTTATGTACAAATACTTTTTTTCTCCAATTTTGACCGGGCTAGCTAAATATTCATCATTTTGGTCAGACTAGCTGCATTGGTTTGGGGTCCTCACTCTTCTTCTTTAAGTGATGTCTTTGTTTTTCTTCTTAAACACGGATTATAATGCGTTATTAAGGTTTTTTGAAAAAAAAATTATTAGGACATTTACGGTAATTTGAATAGCGAACGGCAGACAGCCTGCGGTTCGCCATTCGAATGGCGAATAGCGAATAGCGAATAACCGTCCAACTTCTGATTGCCTGACGAAATAAGAATATCAGCCGTCTCGTTTAAAGTAACCATTTCGTAAGCTCTATGGTCGATACAATGACCTTGTCAGCAAATGTTATTTAACATTGAGTCAAATGCTGACGTTTTTCATACTTATTGTTATTACATTATTTATACACTGAAGGGAGTATATGGCTAGGGAGATGGGAAAGTATGGTTTTAATAATCGTGATACATTCCCAGACTTCTAGGGGAAGTCACTCTCTATATAGATGGGGGGTAGGATCTACAACCCTCGACACGCCGGTGTATGTAATGTTTGGCATATCTTATCCAAAAAAATCGATGTTTAAATGTTTGCATCGTCAGGCTAAAAGATATTGCAAAAAGATTTTAAACAACCGCTTTGTCCCTGTACAACAGTGTCGGTAGGACGGTTACATGATTTCATGAAAGACGCACTTTTTTGATAAATTAAAAAAAAGAGGAAGCCCAGGATCATGCATACAAGAATTCAAACCTCATGTTTTCAGTTTTTCTGTGATCGTTTAAATGTGCATATTGCAACCTGTACAGGAAATTGATATAAAGGTATTCACAAAGAGTAGGACTAAGTTAAAGGGAAATATTTACCACGTACATGTATAACACACAGTTTAAATTAAACAAAACGCTGTTAATTCACAATTAATGTAATTAAAGTTGATTCCCTATTTTTATTCCTTCGAAAACAAATACAGTCCATTTTTCTTTTCTCTAAAAAAACAAAAAAGATCAACAATGTATTTTAAATTACCTTGCATTCGAGGTCCAGTTTTTCAAAGAGCACGTGCAGATTTCGGAAAACTAGTTCCTCGTCGTCGCATGCTCTAAAACCTGGCATGAAAGCCTTTGACACGCGCAGATTTGAAGTTAATATTTTCTCAATTTCTATACAATATCACGACTTATATATTACAATACCATTTCACACGAAAAATGTATATATGTATCTTTTTTCATCACGAAGTTATTGAAACTTCGAATTTCTGGACGGGTTTGATTGACGCATCTTGCACTTTCACAAATTTGTTATTATGGATACGCTTTCCATCGAAGTGTACTATCATGTACACGAATATATGCACAGTTGTTATGAATTCTTTTGTTCGTTCGCGTTACAATGAAATCACCCAAAATGACCCAAAGATTTAAATGCACATACATGTTCATTATGTAGACAGACGGGTGGACACTTACATTAGCATAAGTTTTTGTTTAAACGTAAGACAAGGCTATCTAGCCAATCAAGATTTTGGGCTTTGCCAAATACTAAACCGAAAACAAGATAAAAGTTATTTTATCTATTAAGGAAAGTCAAGTGCAAATGGTTTTTTGAAAACCCATGTTAAATAATATGACATCGTTTTTCTTGAACACTGTTAATTGAAATATAGAGTATATACGAATTCAGAATCATCGTTCAATGAGAAAGAAAATATGAATTCTAGCTATTGGTGAAAAGAATATATATTACATGAATGTACATTAAAAAAAAATAACATTTTTACAGACATATTATTTCATAGTTGAAAAAGAAGTTTCATACACATGTGAATGCCACGCTTAATAAGCTTTTATTTTAGGAATATCTTTATTTTTTTAGATTTCATGCTTGCGTGATAATTTGCATAAATGCCGAAGGCGTAAATATATAAAAATTGCATACACCACCAATGCTTTACCATGAACATCACATTTATTTCTAAATCTACAAGCACTGATACTTTTTACTCAACTTTTAATCAAGCAAAGATACATTACAAATTATTTCAATACATAACTACATGTTTTTACACCAAATATATATATATTTTTTATTTAATATTAAACATCTAAATAAAATCGAAAACGATAAAAACAAATACATGTAGTAAGACTTCCAAAAATGTATTTCATTCCATAAAAGATTTTTTTTAAATGAGGGCAAATTAATATGTGGCTTAATAATAATTTTGCCTTTGCTGTGACATCTCCTCATAGAATGAATCATGGCCCTTCATTTCCCCTTGAACAAATAAAATGTCAAAGTTGTTTGGATTTTCTAACTTAAAGACGAAAATGGAAAAGTTCGTGTTAATATAGATTTGAACTCAAATGAGCTCTTAGTTAATGTGAACTGATAAAAATACATGTACAACAAATAGGGTCAATTACATATATAATGTACATAATTTTCCCCCAATAATTCTGTGATAATTGTAAAAACAGCTATCAAACTAAAAAAGAATCAAAACGTTGATGTTTTGTACCCGTCAGCGAAAAATGTTACTTTTCCTAACAGGTGTATTCCTTTTCATTCTTTGAACCCGTTCATAATAATGCCTGTGTCCTTCTACCTGAAACACGTGCATATCAAAATCTTATTTTAGTTTTTAAGAATAAATATTTTATTGTGCGCATACAAGCAGTTTAACAATATATACCTTTTCACTGAGACACCCCTTCCCCCCAACAAAAAAAATAACTATAGTTTACTAATACTATAGTTTACTATAGTTAACTATAGTAAATCAAAGTGTCAAAATTTTCGACAAAGTTTTACAAGTTTTCAAAGTGATCACTATTGTTAATCAAAGTTTTTAAAGTTTTAACAATAGTGTCAAAGTTTACGCCAAAGTTTATCAAAGTGTCAAAGTTTTCGCCAAAGTTTATCAAAGTGTCAAAGTTTTCGCCAAAGTTTATCAAAGTGTCAAAGTTTTCGATAAACTTATTCAAAGTTTGTACGTGATCACTATAGTGAATCAAAGTTTTCAAAGTTTTCGCAAAATGTTTTCATTGGTTAATAAAGGAATGATTTTTGAAATATGAGTTTAAGTTTTCTCTTTCCTTTTTTTAGTCTCTGAATTTGTATTATAAGAAGATCAAAGTGTCAAAGGTTTTACTAGGGTAAATTAAAGTTTTCATAGTGATCCCTATTGTTAATCAAAGTGTCAAAGTAAAGTTTTCAAAGTGTTCCCTCTAGTAAATCAAAGATTTCAACTGAAAGTGTTCTTTCTACTAAATCAAAATCTTCACTGTGGTCAAAGTTTACAAAGTTATCACTATAGTTTATCAAAGCATCAAAGTTTTGCCAAAGCTATTCAAAGTTTTCAAAGTTATCACTATATTAAATCAAGTTTTCAAAGTTTTCGCCAAAGTTAACCAAAGTGTCGAAGTTATCACTACAGTAAATCAAAGTTTTCAGAGTGTCAAAGTTATTACTATAGTTAACTATAGTGTTTTTGTTTGGGTCATTCCTGACACAAACTTGTACATGGAAAACTTCCACTACAGGCTCTCAAATGATTGGATGTAAAAGTTTCCCCAGAGTGTTTCACTTTGTTTTTAGTTCATGAGCATGTTAAATATTGAATGCCTTGTAGCGGTATTAATTTTCGACCTTGCTGTACATACATGTATTTTTGACGTCCAAGCCCCAGTAAAAATATGTTACAGGTAGTAAACAGTAGGACTGAACACTGAACACATCTTACCTTTTCAGGACCCATAAACACATCACCAGACATCCCCCAAAAAGATTAATCGGCTAATGCTTAAAATAGTTTGAGTTTAAAAAAAAAATGTCACAGATGTAACAGAGAGACGGACAGATAGACAGACGGGTCAGGATAACAACGTGCACGAACTTTCTTTTAAAAGTGCAGGTATACTTATTTATGAAATTAAATTATATCATTGATTTTAATTCAAAGACATACCACCATATCGGTATCCATTCATCTGATTCGGTATCAAAGATCATCTCCTGGTGGTCATTATCGTAATAATTGTCATCATTATCGTAATAATCGTCGTAGTCATCATAATCATCATAATAATCATCATAACGGTAGCTGCTGAAAAAGAATAGTAAATGTGTTATGATTATACATTATATCTTTTTCCTATCGTATTGCCTTTTTTGGGAAACCCTAAGGATACATTTATGAGAGATCTATGCAGTAGACCTAGCCCAGTTATATTTTTTCTGTCTCGATTCGATGATCTGTTCCCTCAATTTAAACAGTAGTTTAATCATCCGTCGACTTATACGAGATCATCGCTCAACCATCGGAAGACGATTGTTATAAGTCTGTCGACAGTCGATAGTCATTCAGGTGTTCGGTTTTCGTAAAGGTCGGATGATGTTAAAAAAAAAAACCGAACTAGTGCTCAGCGCGCAATCGGGCGACTGTTGTCTGACTTACCTGTAGTTTCTGTGAATATTTACTGTCACTGTCTCATTCTTGGGAAATTCATGATCTTCAAATTTAAGAAAAGATTTCAGTTTTGTTGGAATTGGTAAATCTTCAATTAATGGCAAAATACTCTGACCATGAGATGAAAGCTGTTTTCGAATTCTACATCTGCAAAGGACTTGTAGAGTTGTTGGTTCATTCTCGATTTCGTTTAAAACAGCTGTTATAGCAGCCCTGTCTTCAACACTGACTTCTGTTGTGTAGTTGTCATCGTCAACGATAAAAGAACATCTAAAATTTTCTTCATTTTCAAATCCTCTGATCCAACTTTTTTCTGTGTCTATGTTCCAGCCACAACGCATAAAAAATTTAATGGATTCAAATAATCCATAAGTTGCGAGACTTCTAAGACATTCTAGTGGAAAAGAACTGAAACAAGGGAATGATATCATTATGAATACAGAATATAAGTGTCAACTGTTCAAAATTATCATAAAAGTCAAGATCAAATGAAAGAAAAACATTGTAAGCTATTCTCAAGAGCATGTTATTTGAAATACAAATTAACAACATGTGATCTACAAATTAGAGGAAAGGAAACATGTTTATCACCTGGGTCTATTACCTGTATTTAATCATTATTATTCTTTCAAAACTGACCGTTTCTTTCAGGCACAATTGAAATTATACGAGTGTTTAAAGTCAAGATAGTTGATAAATTTAGACTAATTTTTTTTGGTGCTAGATCCATTATGACGCCACAATTATTTTCAACTTTCCAGTTCTCGTACTTTACGGCTTTAACAGAATTATGTAGAAAAAAGTATATTTTCATGGAATTCAATCTGAAATCATATGAAAAGTAATCCCAATACCTATTCTAAATTTGATATTATTTTAAACAAGAGGCCCTGAACATACAAATTAGTAAACTGTTTTTTTGAGACTGTAAGCAATCCAAATACATTTCCTTTGTCGAATTTGAAAAAAAAACCCTCCATATTCATGACTGATTTTCTTAATTTCTATTAAAAGTGACTGTGTAAAATATTGTGTTTCATCTCGTTTTCCTACAAATGATGACCCGAAACACGTTATTTGACCAAGCTAAAATTATAAAGAATCATTAAAGGTGTTTTACTTTTTAGATTTTCTTAATCTGTAGGCATCTTTCATTTACTAGATCTTGACCTTAAATATTGTTTCATCCTAACTCAAAAGGTAAAAAATATATAAGCAAAATATGGTTATTAATAAACCCTGTTAATTCATCGCAATAAACAAAATCTATGAGATAAATATAATTATTTCTAAACCATCCACGTATCCACAAAGACGTATGCGACCCGCAAAAATTCATCTAACACTGGATTTATCTTGAATAAGGTGACAGAAATGAAATAAGACTAACTTCACTTCTTTCCTAATAAACTATTCAAAATCAATAATAATATTTCATTACCCAGGTTGTTTATTCATCAAATCAGCTCCGGCGATAAAAAGTTGGAAAACACCCTTTACGTCAAAAGTGAAAATGTGTTGGTAATTGCTAGAGTATGCTTTGTCACAAGTTTTCCCCAGAACACCAATGTGCTCGAAGACATGTCTAATGTCCAGCTTTACTGAATATTTTAGGAGCGTGCTTAAGCATCTTAATTCTCTACACCCTATACCTGCAAAAAATATTTGTACACATTCACTTGACGTATTCACTTTTGAAATATACAGAATTGAATTATATCACCATTAGTTTAAGTCTTAATCTCATGTTGTCTAAGGATGTCAAAATAATTCAAATTTTCTATATTGTACTTTGTTATAGATACGTTTATGCCCCCCCCCCCCCGTAAACGAAGTTTCGGGGTATATAGTTTTTGTCCTGTCCGTCCGTCTTTCTGTCTGTTTGTCTGCAAAAACTTTAACCTTGCCAATAACTTTTGACTGGATGGGGCTATGACTTTCATATTTCACAGGTGTATTTCTTGAGATTTTTCTTTGGGTACCAAAGGGTTTTATCTTTCCCATGGATTTTGAACAGTTTGAGCTAGGACTTTCATACTTCACAGGTGTAATTATACTGATAAGACCTTTCAGTGGGTATAAATATTTTTGATATATTGACCTTGATCCTAGAGCTTGGCCAACTTTTACAAATTTAACCTTGACCATTACTTTAGAACCGTTAGTACTAGAGCTTTCGTTTTTGCATAGGTGTCTTCCTTGTGACAAGACCTTTCTTTGGATAACAATTTTGACCTTGACCTTTGAGTTTGACTTGCATTTTGAGTAATTTCAATCCTCGCCATAATCTGTCATACAGGGGCATCAGTGTTTCACAAATACATTTTGTTATGCCTATATTATTAAGTGTAAAAAAAACAATTATTGGCCTTCAAACAAGTGACAATATGATATCCTAAGGCTACTTCATATTTCATCATGGCAATGAAATGAATTTTGTTTGCTTCTATTATAAACAATTCATTGAGATTGTTTTAGATATAAATTCTTACCTAATCTACAAGCATAATTCAACGGAGACCTATCAAAATGGTCGATGTAGTTGATATCGGCACCATATCTTACTAGTTCTTCAGCCAATTCAACGCATTTTCTTTCGATAGCAACTGACAGGATAGATTGTTTGTCTTCTGACTTTTCGTTTGGATCTGCACCCTCCTCTAGCAATCGTTTTCCTAAACTAAGCCACATGTCATCGCTTGAAGCTACCTGTACCATACTCCATAAACAATTATCACCTGGTTTAGCTCCAAAGTCAAGGAGAAGAAGAGCAGCTTTGCAACTCGAACCTTTTGACATCCAAACAAAAATGGTTTAAGCAACTGTAAAGCACACTGAAGTGTCAAAATTTTCTTGCTCATTCATGGTTTCAATCAATAACAATAGGTATTGTAATCAAATTTTAATGCACAACTTTTAGCAGTAAATTTTAAATCAAATGTTGAATGTTTGATAAATTCTCTACTTACAAGGATCTAGACTAGTAAGATTCATTTATTGTATTTCAATTAATGTGGGTCACAAAAGTGTCCCTTAATTTCCTATATATTACACATAAAGATAAAATTTGTATCTGGAAATAAAATATATAATTTAACTTGAATTTGAAGAACTTTTAAAAACTTCCTAGATATCACTATAAAATACATTTTGATTTCATTAATGAAACATATAGAGATAACGAACAGTATTTAAGATCAAAAGTCCATAAAACAATACAAAATAGGTTCAGAGCAAACACGGACCTCCAAAACATCATTAAATAAGCCCCTTTGAGTTTATGTGTAAAAAAGTGGGAATCAAATTTAAAAAAAGAAATGTAAAATAATTGTTGTTAAGCTGCAAATAATAGAAATCGAATTAAAATAAATCTTTTTTGGTTAGTCGTAATTTCGTAAAACAATTACTAACAATTAAATCGATAAAATAAAAACCTTCCAGAATTTTAAAAATTCGCCTTGTTAAACCCATTTCAAAATTTATAGGAAAGAAAGGTTACAAAAATCATCAATATAATAAGTACCATGCAAATTGAAGTAGTTCTAATTATGTTAATTTATTGACGTGCAATCAAATGACCCAAGATTTTAAGCCAGTGGGTTTCTTTCCAAATAAGAGTAAACCTGGCAGAGAGAATATTGTTTATTAAGTCAAAATTGTGATACTTTTTGTTTTCTGTTTATGCGTTAATATACATTTAATGATATTTTAATGCATGTATAACAATTTCATTTACAAGTGTTATAAGTAAAGAAAATAATTACTCTGTTTCAAAATGTTTTGAAGAACTGAAAATCCTTTCTCATCAACATGATTTGGATTTGCACCGTACTGCAATAGAATTCGAACATTCTCCTCAGATCGACATGGACTTCTGCATGCATTAGTAAGCAAGGACGTTTCACCGTCACCGTAAAAGTTAGGATTGGCGCCTTTCTCTAACAGGAGTAAAAGATCTTTCTTTTCATAAATGCGGCACTTCAATATGAAATCCAACGTAGAAAAATTGTATTGTTTTTCAATATCATCTATCGTGATCCCTGCATCCAATACCCCATATAACTGACCTGTGAAAATATACATGGTTGTGAATGTGATCTAATAAAATGTTATCTGGAAGATATTTAAGAAAGATTTTTAATTTTATTTTTCAAAGTTCTTCTTTTTTGAGCCCGTCATTGGTCTATTGGGATGCAAATCTTATGAATATTTGAATATAGAGTGAATTCACAGAGCTCTTTGCAAGAGGATTAGGACTTTAAAAGAAATCTTGAAAGATTTCTTATGAATTTCTATAACATTCGACTGGAGCGTGTATTTCGTATGTACATGAAAAGAGCTGATACCATTCGTAAAATATTGTTTATCAAAGTACTCGGAATTTCAAATATTTACTCGTTTATTTTCTATATAAAAAAAAGTCTTGCTGAACCCTATGTGATTGCAATACTTAATTGATTCCATAGAAGGTCAGTGATATAATTTCAAATATTTACTCGTTTATTTTCTATATAAAAAAAGTCTTGCTGAACCCTATGTGATTGCAATACTTAATTGATTCCATAGAAGGTCAGTGATAATCATAATTTTGAACATCAGTGAACTCTTACAACAGAAGAAATGAGTACATAAAGATAACAAACGGTATTCCAGCTCAAAAGACGATTGAACAATACAAAATAGAAGCAGAGCAAAAACGGACCTCCAAAACATTAAAGGAGGGATTAGGAGAAGTGAGCATCCCCTGTAACTTTTTAATTAAAGTTGCTTTAACTTTGATTGAAATCGGACAAGAAGCACAGGAGAATTTCAAAAAAGACAAATGTTAAGTAATTATATACTTATGAAACACCCTGATCAGACATATTTCTCTAATACAAATGAACCAAACCTAATGATTTTAACATTGAAAAAACTGTCCTTCCATATTTGTCTTTCCAGCTTAAGTTTGCTCCAGCGCGAACAATGCCTTCTACTGTCTTTCGATCTGCATCATTTTCAAATGCCAACATCAAAATTGACTGTCCAGTTTTTTCGTAAACATCATTAACTTTTCCTCCTCTTTCAAGCAAAGCGGGGAGAAGAGATGGTATTTTCATTGCTGAGAGGCAAACACAGCTGATATTTCCTAACCCCGTTCCTTTACCTGTACCAACAAATGTAACATTGGCTCCTTGCTCAATAAGATAATCTGAAAGTCGTTTTTTGCGATTTTCAATTGCTCTGAAAAGTAGAGAAACGCCTTCTGGTGAGGTTTGATTAATGTCAAGTTTTCCAATGGCAAGTAACACACTGATCACTTTGATACTATTTGTCTCTGACGAAATGGATATAAAATACCAAAAATCACTATTGAAAACTGTTGTACTTTTGTCAAATTCCTCTAGAGTTATTAGGTACTTCACGACTTCAACTTGTCCAGCTTTGCAAGCAACATGGAACATATTATCACTTTTCTCTAGATCTAGACAACCTGCACCTTGTTCCTGTACTATGAAGCGAAGTCCTTTAACAAATCCTTGTCTGGTTGCCATACGGACGATTAAGCGAATGTGATGAGGTTTCATGTCCACAGTATGATACCAAGTCTTTCGAAACGTATCGATATCTTTTTCAAAAATACATTTGTAGAACTTGTCTATCCAAATTTGTCCGGCCATGATTAATGTTTGCACGGTAGAATGTTTAAGTTGTTTTGTATCTACGTAAACATGTGCACACTGACAACACTATTGTATAATCTCTTGAATGCACTTTGATATTGATTTTCTTTCTCCCTGCTTAAAGTATACTGACACACAAAAGAAACGCAACACCCTACTTTGAGGGGGAAATAATTATGTAAAGTAAAAAATTTTGTATCTTTAAATTATGAATATCTTCAATTTGGTAAACATCGGTAATTTAACGCTTGAACGATTTCCATACCATAACCGGAAGTCAAGTTTGAGTCTGCTTAAGCGAAATCAAAAATTGCATGTTGAACAAAACATTTGGCAATATTATGGAGTTTTAAGGGTTTTATACTGTTCATCATAAGTAATTTAGCAATATTTCAAAAAATAAACTCTCCTTCCTTTTCCCGTAACGATGCTAAAGCTACTTGAAAATGGCCTATGTACGCATTTCCATTGCTCTAGCTGGAAAATTTCAATGTAAAGGTGATGGAGAGTTGCTGATGCGAAATTTCACTACATTACGCCTCAACAGGGTCTAACGTATCATATGCATTAAAGACAGTCCTTGTACCGGAAGTCCAGGGGTGGCTACACTGCTCTAAGTTAGAGAAAATTCGACCTAATCATCTGAAAAACGGGAATTTAAAAATGTCAAAGAATTATTCCTTCACTCAGATCTCGATATAATGAACCTATTGTATCGTAGAAGTTAAGCTGCAATCGTTATTTAGGGCAGTCTTGCACGTTTTACTTGAATGGCTGGA